TGTCTACAGAAGCACCCGAAGAGACCACAGTTGTATTCGAGGAGTCTACAGAAGCACCAGAGGAGACTACGCAAGAACCAGAGGAGTCTACAGAAACACCGGAAGAGACCACAGTTGCACCCGAGGAGTCTACAGAAGCACCTGAGGAAACTACACAAGCACCAGAGACGCCTGAAGAGTCTACTCAGGTAACCGATGAGCCGACAGAAACTACTCAAGTCCCCGAAGGACCGACAGACACTACTCAATCATCGGAAGAGCCTGAAGAGTCTACTAAAGTTACAGAGGAGCCGACTGAAACTACGCAAGCCACCGTAGAGCCAGAGGAATCAACGATCGAAGGTTCGGGAGAACCTGTTGAGACAACGACAGAAGCAGAGGAGGGCAGCGGGTCGGCGAGGTCCTAAGCTCGCCCTGGCTACTAGAATATCATTATTATTTTAATGCTAAGCGAGCGTAGTAAGCATTGGGAATCCAACATAGTTATGAAGCGAAATGATATGTTAATTTAAGTAGATGGTTTTATTCTAATTATAGAAACTGTTAGTCAAATGATTTCGTAATCTTTTATTGTTCATCATTTTCTGAGTACTTCAAAAATTCAATTGCTACGATTGATTTTAAAAAATATCAGACACTTCTTTTTGTTAACATGACATTATCATAATGGGCACTTAAGATTGCCTTCTATGTAGGGTCCATAAATACATTATTTGTTGATTTGTACCGCACAGAGTGTTAATGGCAAAAATTCAAGTCCAATCTTCAGTTTCGATAGGTCGCAAAAATGTTTCAACGCAACTCATATCGCTGGGCATAAAATAATAAAAGTGGTATTCAAATGGCTTATTACTCATGCAATTCGATCGATATGTGTACTTTTGTTATGGAAAAATTTTCGCAACAGCAATTACATATATTAGCAGCACATTATGTCAGTTATTGTTGTTAGTATTTGCTCAGAAACAATATCAATAATTGCGCATAACTAGATGTTTTTCCCTGTTAATCGAAGACAACTGTTCAAATATGCGGCGCCTGGAGCCTGGGCCCTATAAATAGATCGTTATCTGAAGAAAACGATATCAAACCAAATCTAAAGTACATCATGAGGGCTATTACATTAGCAATTTTCGCTGTCTTGTTGGTTGCCGTAATGGCACGACGCGGCTCTGGCGGCGAAGGCCAGGGCCCTCCTGGTCTTGGTGGACTGGGTGGCCAGGGACCTCCTGGACTGGGTGGCCAGGGACCTCCCGGACATAGACGTCCACATGGTCCTCCCGGTGGCAAGCCACCATCAGGTGGATCTGAAGGCGATGAGAACGACAATAATGACAACGATCAAAATGATGACGATGATAGTGATAATGATGATAATAATGACAATGATGATAATAATGACGACGAGAATAACCAGGACGATGCTGGCGAAGCCGAAGATGAGAATGAAGCGAATAACGAAGAGAATCAGGACGGCGATGAGAACAACGATCAAAATGCCTAAAATCTAATTCTGCTTGAAACTTTAACTCTCTTCCTGTTAATATTTAAAAAAGAATCATGCAATAAATTATTATATTTGGCGACTTCAAAATTAAGTTGTTTTTTTATACCCTGAATCCATTGAAAATGGGAAATCAGGGTATAATGGTTTTGTTGAAATGTATGTAACAGGCAGAAGGAGGCGTGGCAGACCCCACAAAGTATATATATTCTTGATCAGGGTGACGAGCTGAGTTGATTTGGCCCTGTCCGTCTGTCTGTCTGTCCGTCTGTCCGTCTGTCCGTCTGTCCGT